ATGGTCTTAATGGCACATCCTCCCTGTCTGACACTTTCTCACTTGTCTGTGGTTGACAGGAGATTACCTTTAGGGGGACAGGGGTTTTGTCTGCCGTCCGCCCTTATCGTCCTCGTGTCTAGAAGTGTCTGGGGTTTGCGGAGGCTCCGTGTTGAGTGTAGAATGTAGTAAATCGGGACAGAGCTAGCTGGAGGACCCAGGTGTTCCCGTGGCTGGGCCAGGTCTCTTCTCCAGCCTGGCCTCACCCAGCTCTGCCGCAGCTCGGCAGGGTCCCGATTAGGTCCTCATGTCTAGGGAGGTCTCTATCAGTACCCCTGTGGTCCTGCCCAGGGCTCCCCTCCCTGGGAAAGGCGGCACAGCACAGAGTCCCCCGGGGTCCCCCCCAGATTCTGGGAGCCAGTGGGGCAGGAAGACGTGCTGGCCCGGGGGCCAGGCCGATGGCCTAGCTGGACAGGTGCCTAGTTGGGCAGGGGCCTGGCCCCGCTATCCCTCCTTGTACAAATGGGACAGACGTTAAGAGGAGAGAGACGTGTCTGAGGTTACACGGAGAGTGTGCAGCTGTGAGGACTGAGAACTCAATTGTCTTGCCAGCAGTGAAATTCTCTGAATTAAAAACCGGCAGATCAGCAGGTCCCTATTGCCCAGGGGCTTGGAGACTTCCTGGCTGGCCCCAGCCTGTCCTTACGCCCTGCCCAGGCGGGACTTGCACAACTGGCCCTGCCCGTGGAAAGGAGTGGGGAGGGCGAGAGAGCACCCCTCCGCTCCCTGAATTCTGAGGGAGCAGGGGGTGCAGTGGCGGGAACGAGGCGGTGGTACCCACTTGGCTTAAGGGCGGTCCCTGACTCGGGCAGACAGTGAGGAACGGAGCAAGGTTCTCCTGCCCCCTCGCCTCCCCCCCACCTGCCCATCTGCCTCTCCTGGGAGAGACTCCCAGGAGGTTTCCAGACGCACGTGGAGGGCCCATCCCATTCGGAGGCCAAAGGCTGGGCCCCGGAGAGGAGGCACGGCCACCGGCCACCAGCACACTTCACAGGAGCTGTCCTCCTGGGGGTCAGGCAGCCCCCCGCCGGGGCACCACGGGGCAGAGTGGGGGGCGGGGGCAGCCCAGGCTCCGCGGCTCAGAGAGCGCAGTTTCCTTTTCCCGGTCCTGCTGCTGACAGAGCTGGGTTCCAGCCCGTCTGCTGCTGTGAGGAGGCATCCTGGACCAGCTGGCCGGTGGCGTCTGAGGATGGACAATAACGGCCCTGATGATGAAAATGATACTTGTCCCTTACCCCGGGCCAGCCACTGCGCTAAGCATTTCCCACTCATTATTTTATTTCGTTTCATGAGGACGTACATTTTAGAGGTGGAAGGAATGAGGTGACAGAGTGGAAGTGGTTTGCTTGAGGTCACCCGGCTAGGGAGTGGTGGGGGCAGGGCTGGAACCTGAGTCTTCTAAGGGAGTCCAGAATCTTCCCTGACAGGCGCCCGCCTGACAGGGTCCCTGCGGAGGGGCTGTGGCCAAGCTTCTTTCCTCCCTGGCTAGCTCCTCCCCCCCCTCGCCTCCGGATCCTGGGGCCCCTGTGCACACCTGCCCTGTAACTGCTGAGCTTCCAGGGAGATAAAGCACTGAGACTAGGGGCTTTGTTTACAGTGACATAAATAGGAATGAGTGCAAGGGCCCTGGGGCCTGGCCACAGGGACATAGGGACAGGCTGGGCCTCTCCCCGGCAGGACAGAGGAAGGGGAGACCCCTGGAAGCGGCCTTATGTCTGGCAGGCACCCTAGGTCCGACGCTGTGGGAGGAAGTGGCCAGTGGAGGGGCATGCCATCAGAGGCTCCTAGGACCCTAAGCGGAGGTTGCATGTTTGACCTGAGGTCCTAGGCCCAGGTCACATGCTTGTGGGGGGTGGGCTATCAGTTTTGGCCTGTTTGCCGGGGTGGGGGGGGAGCCTGAGGAGACCCCTATCTCGACCATGCCCAGAAGAGCTGCTTGCCTATTGCCCAGCCTGGTGGTCAGGCCCTGCCTGCTTGCCTCGTGTCACCCTTCCATAGCTGTTACCAGTTTTATGCATGAAAAACGCCATACACAGCCCTGACTGTGTATGTGGCTCAGTGGATCGAGTGCTGGCTTGCCAGCCAGGGGGTCACCGGTTCAATTCCCAGTCAGGGCACATGCCTGGGTGGTGGGCCAGGTGCTCTGAGGGGGGCACACAAGAGGCATCCACACAATGATGTTTCTCTCCCTCCTCCTCCCTCCCTCTCTCTAAAAATAAAATAAAATCTTAAAATATCAAAGAGAACAAAAACAAAACCACCACACACAGGTCAAAACGTCAGCTTCCCCACTTCCTAGCTTTGTGAACTTAGCAGGTAACCTGACTTGGAGCCCACTTCTCAGCAGCACTGTGGAGGTCATGCCTGCACCAGCAGGTCACTGTGAGGGCGAGGTGAGGTCCAACAAGCACCTGGCCGCCAGCTCCCACCCAGGGGCCTTTTGGGGCCGATGTCAATCACTGCAGGGAAGGTACTGAACGGGGTTGTCTGTGTGTCTCTCCTCCCTTCTCCCAGCCTCATGGGCCTAGGATGGGGGCGGTGGATGAACTCCCCAGGGATCAGGTAGGAGGCCGGCTCTTCGCCAGCCCTGGGCTCAGGGGGGCTCTCTCGGCCCTGCCCACTCCTGAAGGTCTAATGAGTGGGCAAATGCTGGTTCTAGAGCTTGCTGGGGGCTGTTCCTAGAGGAGCCAGAGACGCATCATCTTGTTCTCAAGGCTCTGCTTCCAGCCCAGGCTCCACCGCCGGTGAGTGCAGGGAGCTAGGGCCCCGCGCAACCTCCGGGACCCCATCTCCCGCGTAGAGAAGGCCCCGGGGCAGTGGGCACCCTGAGGCGTCCTGTGTTGACGGGACAGGTGGTCAAAAAGGAGCCCGTGACACCTGTGCTCATCCAGCGGTCAGGTGAGGGCGAGTGTTTCTCGAAGCCGACAGGGGCCGGGTCGCTCCCTCCCCCCATCCCAAAGCGGAGCCCAGAGACAAAGCAGGCCAGGAGTGCGCAGAAGGCTATTATATATCATGCTTTTAATACAAACTTAAAAAAATCTGGAACAATATAAACTGTACAGATTTGATCAACTGTTTTGTTTTTAAACTAAATATCTAAACACACCAATGTCCCATTCCAAAATATTGCACAACGTTCTGAATACAAAATGCCTGATTGTATTCCTCCTTCACTAAAGAAAACAAGTCCACTGCCCCGCCCCCTGCGCCCCTCTCCACGTCACCTCGGCGCCCCCTTCCCGGCTCCGGGGGTCCGACGGGAGAGTCTACAGCTCACTGCATTGAGAAAAAGACATCATTCTGGACTAAAAGTTTACTTTCTTTACAAGACGATCCACCTCTTGATTTGTTCCTGGAAAGAGGGGGTAGATAGATAGGGGATGGGGAAAGGGGAGAAACGTTTTATTCTCTTTTTTATTTTAAAGTTTGTTTTTCCTGAAAAAATATCTTTGTTTCTCTCTTCTTAAGAAAAAATCTTGAAAAGAAAAAAATTACGTTTTACGTTAGAAATATACATATATTATATATACCTCTTACATTTTACAAATGTAGCAAATTATTCAATACAAACGGACACCAAAAAATGTAAAAAATAAAAAAAAAACTTTGTCTACGAAACCAGGTAAATTAGTGCAGATTTTTGTTTTTGTTTTCTTAAAAAAAATAAAATCGAAGCAAAATGCCTAGATTTGAGACGAGACAGACTGGACTGGGCCCTGGGCCCAGGGCTGGAGCCACGCTCCTGGACACACGCTTTTCTTCGTGTTTCAAGACACTAAGGGGTAGGTCTCCCCCTCTCCCTGCACGTGGCGAGATAACAAGCTGACCAGGTGTGGGGGTACCTGTGCGCGTGAGTGCGGGAGGAGGGGGCTGGGAGGGGGCATAAGGCGGCGTCCAGCCTTTCCCGGAGAGCAGCGGTCTGCCTGAGCCCGTCACCTGTGTGGGAGCCAGTGGCGAGGGGGAGCGAGCGGCCCAGACCGGGCTGGCCCCTGAGAAGTCTGGGGAACAGATGGCGCTAGGCTGGGGAGCCAGGGCACTGCCCCGCTGGGGGAGGTAGAGCTGGTGCCCAGTGCAGGGAGAGGCTGGCAGTGTCTGTCTGGGCGGGACCCACTGCCACAGCAGTTGCTCACTTGGGGTCGCTGGGGAGGGTGGGGTGCCAAAGGCTTTGGTACTTTCTGGTGGTGGGGATCTTGATGCCACGTGCCCCACCTGCCAAAGCCTCATGGTGCGGGAGCTGGCCCGCTGGGGTGGGATGGGAGAAACAACTTCTCTTCTGGCTGAGGGGGGGAGCGAACGCTCTTCCACCGTCCGGACACCCTGCTGCGCTGGCTCGGCCTGGCCCGCCCGGAAGGACACCCCTCGCAGCACCAAGGCCCAGTGGGGTTGGGCCGGGCAGTGAGGGCGGACGGCAAGAGGCACCAAGAAGTTTTCAAGCGGGCAGGGGCAGAAATGCAGTAAAACATCTACACGACCGAAGGACCGAGAAGTCTCAGTCTGAGGCTCAGGACTGCCCGTTACAGGCACGGCCCCAGACACAGACTCGCACCCGCCAGGGTCTCAGCTCCCGCATGGGCGGGGGCCACACACCAGGAGGGCCCGGGTCCAGGGACTTCTCTCAGGTGTCAGAGGCGGGGCGTTCCCTCGGTCCCTCGCGGTGAACCATTTAAACAATTTTTTTGGTCAAAAACAAAAGTGCAGATCCCTCCGGGTTCGGAAACCAGTTCCTTCTGCAGCGCCTTCCCCTGGGAGTGTATCGGGTTCAGCCGGTCTCACCCCGCCAGGCAAGCCACTCTGTAGAAGGACGGACAGCCTGCCCCGGCCCGTTCCCCAACCTCAGACGTAAATAAGCACTTGCGGCAACCCAGAATCACATCCAGAGGGGAAGTTTCACATGGCTGGGAACCCTTTAAACTAGGACAGCACACCAGGCACACGCATGCGCACACACCCCTCCCCCACTGGCCCCACCTCCCTACCCCCCACCCCAGGCCCAGGGAAGAAGGGGCTGCGTGAGATGCCACACGCGGCAACAGCGGGGTCTCCAGGGCCACAGTGACAGTCTGGTACTCCAGGTTGGGGTGGTGGCGCGGGGTGGGGGGCACAGGGCAGAGATGAAAGGAATTCCAACAGACAGAGGACTAACCTCCCTGTGACCCATGCCTGAGAGGGAGTGGGGGCCGGTGTCAGGCCTATTTGGGTGGCAGGACACGAGAAGGCCTGCTGAGGTTGGATGGCTTTGAGTGAGAGGACAGCTGAGTGGCCGATGCAGTGACGAGGGACAGCCTCTCCCCGCTCCAAGGAGGGCCCGGCCCCGGCTGCGGCTCTCCCTTCCCCGTGAGCTTGGACACACCAATCCTAGACCAGGTGTGTGAAGGAGGGAGGGAGGGTGGGCGGGCAGGCGGGCGAGAGGGAGCAGCAATTCACATCTGGACCATCCTTATAGCACAGGAAGCCACTAATCAAAGATGTTATATAGAAAACTACATGTAAAAAAAAAAAAGAAAAAAAGAAAAAATATAAAAACCCAAACCAACCAAACCAATCAGAGGAAGGCGGGACAACGGCAGGGAGGTTGAGTTAAACACGGTTCGGGTGCTTCAGGAGCCCCTCCCACTCCACGCCTCGGCCGCATTTTTCTAGAAGTGAGAGTGAGAAGATTGGACATCTTTTTGTATATTTTTCTTTTCCTCTTTTTTTGGCCTTTCCTTTCCTTTCTCTTTTCTGTGGTCTTGCGTTCTCCTGGCCCCGTGGACAGGTGGGCGGTCAGTTGGCTAGCACGACGGGCTGGAACGGCTGGCTGGGATACTGCATGGTGTTCAGGTTGTAGCTGAGGCCTTCCACGAAGGGTGTCTTCTCCAGGAAGATGCTGTTGGCGCCACCTCCAAACACCTGGGCCATGTCGAAGCTGCTGCCGTTGCAGGTGCTGGCCCCACTGCCGCCAAAGGGGGCCGGGGTGCCACTGCCCTGGCCGTCGGCCCCGTCAAAGAAGAGGCTGGGGGAGCCGCCGCCATTGTACACGAACTCCTTGGCATTGGGCGAGAGCTGGGACTGCGGGGCCGGGTTGGGTGTGATGAAGTTCAGCGAATGCATAGACAAAGAGAGGCTCTTGTGCTTCAGCAGGTTGTTGGTGGGAGAGCGGGCCATGTGAGGCTGCTGCTGTGGGGGCTGCTGGCCGCCTGCCCCGCCGCTGGCCACACCCCCACCACCTGCAGCCCCGCCGCCCTTCTTCATCTTGGTGGAGCCAAACTTGGTGGCAGCGAAGGAGGCGGTGGTGAAGGTGATGGGCTGGGTGGAGCGCGGGATAAAGGTGGGGCTGGGGGACTGGCCGAAGGATGGGGACGGGGAGTTGGACAGGGAGCTGTCCTGGCTGCCGATGGGCACAAATACCTGGGCGTCGGGGTTGAAGCTGCTCTTGATCTCCTTGTCCAGCTCTGGGGCAACACAGCCCTCGCTGTCATCCAGGTACAGCACTTTCACAGCCCCCTTCTCACCAATCTGGTAGGACACCTCGAAAGGGTCGATCCAGACGCTCAGCTCCTCGGGCACGTTGGCCCGCACATCCTCCAGTGCCAGGCCGCTCCGCCTGGCGGCCAGCTCCACCACGGGGTCCACTATCTCCCCGATGTGGACACAGCGGAAGCCGGAGCCCTTCAGTGGCTTGTCAGGGTACCAGTGGCCTTCATATTTCTTTTTCAAGAGCCGCTCTAGCTCCTCCCCAAACAGGTCTGCCCGCCGCCGGGGCAGCTTGTTGTATAAGTAGGAGATGATGAAGTTCAGGGCCACTTTGATCTCCAGCTGCATGGTCCTTTCCTGGGCAGACAATCACTGCAGGGCACGTGCACGGGCCAAAGGCGGAAGCCGGAGGGCAGGCAGCCTCGGGCTCCAGGTGGCTCTGGGAAACAAGAGAGGGCATCGTGAGTAGGGGAGCAGGAAGCCTCGGGCGATCAATGGCAAAGGACATAACGGCCCCGACTTCGGATCTCACAGACCCCAGGTCCCATTTCCGCTCTACTAGTGACTGCCTCTGTGGTGTGGCTGAGGGCAGGTCGCCTTTTCTGAGCCTTAGTTTCATTGGCAACAGGAGGTTGCCGTGAAGACTAGGTCAGTTCAAGGATGCAAACCACCTCATGCTCTACCTGGTGTTTGGGAGGTACTTGATAAAATGAGCTATTATTTTTTTAAGTAATATAATTTTTTTAAAGAAATTGAGATGTCGTGGTTTCCAATATTTTGAGAATTCAGACCACTGCACGACTAACACGAAAACACTGAACCCTTAATTCAGCTGGAGAAGGGAAGGCTTCCGCTAACTCGTTAGTCTCTGCAACATCTGAAACTGTGCTCCCAAGTGGCCACAGGCCAAGATATAAATTTAAAATCTTTAGTTTTCCCCCCTTCAACGGAAAGGGATACAGGTCACTGAACAAGACGTAGCACTGCCAATGTTTCACTGAAGGTTTGGACTCCGGTCACATCTGATCTGTCACCCGGGCTCCTGGGCATGTATGTGCTCTGGCTCACTCTGGGTTTGCAGAACTGATCTAAGAACGGCGCAGTATAACCGAGGCAAGCACTGCTGTCCAGACGGCCTCCAAGAATAGAGATGAGAGCATGATTCCCAGGACAAAGTCAAGAGGCCTGGGCCAACAATGGAACTGCTGACGAGGACTGCCCAGGGCTGCAGGGGAAAGGAGAGGGAAGGAGGGTCCTGCTGGCCAACACGTGTCTAGAGGGTAGGTGATGAGGAGGGCAGAGGGAAGAAATTTTCCATCACCCCGCAGCTTCCAGCTGGGGAGCCATCATCACTCAGTCTCCCGGGGACCGTCTGACCACCTGTCCTTGGCACCAGCTCAGATTTATCAAGTGTTTGGAGATCCCTGGAGAGGAGGCAGCTCAAGATAAACACTCAGATTGTTATTTTGGGATTGTCTCACAGCCAGATCGCACAGAGGTCGAAGAGGTTTATATTCCCGACTTCGAGGCCAGCCTCACGTCCCAGGAAGATGATCTGCGAGGCCTTAAGAGCTCCAGTGATCCCCATCTCCTCGCTTTCTCCAAAAGGACAGCTCCAGGCTCATGCCACGGGAGAAACGAACCGAAGAGGCCCCCTGCCTCGCAGGGCCGACGAGGCCAGAACAAGTTCCTAGCCAGACCTCTGGGCGAGGCTGTGCTGCTGAGCTCAGCACAGAAGTGAGACCGATCCAGGATCCGTCAAGGGCATCTTCAGTCCTGTGACAGACCTGGCGCTGGAATGTGATTCAAGTCCCTTCTTGGTCCAGCACAGAGTGTCCAGGGACTAATTCTAGGCTTGAGGATCTTGCATTTTCTGAACACCTGTCTCAACTCACTTCCCTGTGGTTCTCAGACCTGGGCCATGTCTCCTAGGGGCATTTTTAGGACTGAATCCTCAAGTGAAGCTCTCCCAGGGGAGTTTCGGAGAAGATGCACCAGGCCAATCTGGAGCAGCACACACACTGGCTGGGTCTAGGCCTGCCCTCGTTTCAGGTCTGAGCAGACAGAGGGTCATGCGGGGGAGTCACCAACAGAGATGCTCTGAGCACAGCCTCCCCGAAGCTCCCCACAGGGATGCTCTGGATTCAGGAGACCCTTATCTCCCTTCTATCACAGCTTCCAACAAACACTGAATCTCCAAGTTACTTCAAATATCTATTCGTGGTCACCACAGATCACTTCCAGGGGCCTTCTGGTTTTAAGAGAGGAAGGGTTAAGATCCAAGGGGCTTTCTGTTTTTGAGGACTGGGTTCATCACCAGATGCAAAGCTAGTCACCAGGAGCCTGGGCCTCGGCTCAAGAATGGACGTGCGGCTCTGGCTGGTGTGGCTCATTGGATTAAGCCTGCGAACCAAAGCGTCGCGGGTTTGATTCCCAGTCAGGATCCATGCCTGGGTTGTGGGCCAGGTGCCCAGTAGGGAACGTGCAAGAGGCAACCACACAGTGATGTTTCTCTCTCCCTTCCCCTCTCTCTAAAAATAAATAAAATCTTTTAAAAAAAATGGAGGTATGTAAGGGCTACAGTAGCCCATTAGAGGTGTCCAACACAGAGGAGACTAAAATGTAAAATGCTGTGAAGAAGTCGGCACTGGTTTCCAAGAATGAGCCTGAAGTTAAAGGCACAGACTTGAATCCAGTAAATGACACTTCTCAAGGCATCGCACGGCCTCTTAGCACGCCACTCAGGCCAAAGGGCCCCTACACACTTCCAGCCCTCCTCCACCTTTAATGCGGATCTGCCTTCCAAGCTAACCCCCCCTACACGGTTCAGTCTGGAACTGAGAGCATTTGAAATGCAGGCGAAGTCACTGGGAAGTGAGCCTCCCACCTTGAAACACAACAGAAGCACTATCATCAGCCCTGCCTCGCTACCCATTTTCTGCAGCATAAGCAACCAAAGCTGCACACCCATTTATACCTCAGTGATGCCGCCGCACAAGGAAGGAAGTATATATAATGCCACCTTTGCCTCTTTAATTGGAGAGCAGGCCGGGCCAGATGGCTGTGGGGTGGGACCTTACAAAAATGCCGGACAACCAGAATGGGGTTGTCTGCTCTATCAGCTCAGGCTCTAATTTTGACTTCAAGAAGCTTATGGAACAGAGGATTAAAGCACTAGTGCCGTCTTGTCTTTAACTAAAGATAGAAGTGACCACTCTGATGAGTTTGCTCATTTTTTTTTAGGCGATGAACAAATTCTAGAGTTTATATATAAAATATTTATAGAATATGTAAGATTAGAAAGCTTAGAAATAACTACCCTTCAACAAAAGACACAAGTAGATTTGGGTTAAGCAGCAGAAGAGGACTCTAAGCAGCTAACTGTTTAACAATAGCAAATTTACCTTTTGTCAACATATTAAAAAGCTGCAAATGTGAGAATAAATTCTGTCAAACCTTATTTAGAATCTTATCCTCGACTTGTTTGCTAACAGCAACAAAGTTCATCGGATCCCTCCGGCTGGCTCGTTTTAAAGAAAAGTGCATAAAAGGACAGAAATGAGGGCGGTGGTGGCTGCAGGCAATGATAGAGTAATGGACAGTCCAGAGAGAATGCCTAACAAAAAATGCAAAGGAAGAATTTTAAGAAGAAAAATTGTTATATACTAAAGGAGAAACGGAGAACCTGGCTGGGCAGAACTGGTTAGAGCGTCATCTGAAACGTCTAGGTTGTGGGTTCCATCCCTGGTCAGGGCACATACAAGCAACCAATGAATGCATAAATGACTGGAACAACGAATCGAAGTCTTTTTCTACTTAAAAAAAATCGAATAAAAAACAGGAGAAAAGGAAAGATAATGACAAGGGACCCCACCAGGCTCTCAAACCGTGAGACCCTATAAAAATACTCAGGCATCCAAAGCCTTAACTTTCAAAGCGTCTTATGATCAAGTGCAACTGGATTCACGTGAGTGTGGCCAGAGCAGTCAGGGAGGAGGGGTCCTCAATTTTGACAAGGTTAGTGGGTGCCACAAACTGGGTGCCAGGGAGTAAGAGCTAAGCTCCAGGGCCACGGGGGACAAACCCACCCCACCAATCCCGGAGCACCGGCGGGGCAGGTGTGGTTCAAAGGCTGCCAGGACTTGGGCCGACTGACTGATTACACAACCCCGCCCAGAGTCTCACACCATCTCCCCCAAACACTGGCTGGCACAGCCCCAAGTCTGACGGCAAGGTTCCTTCCGCCTGAGACGGCCTTTTCTAGGGCACTCCAGGTTCCTCCGAAGCCGGGAAGACTTGACTGCGCCCCGATGTAAGCGGGGAGGCCAGCGGCGAAGTCACGCCCCGCACTCTGGGACTCGTAGTCCTCAGAAAGCACAAGCTCGGGTTGAACCAAGTGACCTACTTTCTTTGCACACTACACCTCCCGGCGTACTTTGCGACGGCTCCCGGGCAAACCACGCATGCCCAGTGAGGGCAGGTGGCCCAGGCTCGGAGAACCGAGGAAAAGTTTCCGAGGCACATGCGCGCTGCGGTGGACTGCCCCCTCCCCCGCCCACCGCCTAATATATTTTATATAAATTCTACCCCTAAGGCCTACTTGCCGTACTGTATCGCCGTACCATACCCATGTCTCGGTTTCCTGAGAGGCTTAACTTTTTCTCCCTTTCTCTTTACCGCCTCCCATGGCTGCCCAATTAAGGATCTGCTTCAAATGAGGTTTCCTGGCTGAAGGCGGTGGGCTTGAATAGATAAGGTCACATTCCCTCCCCCATCCCAGCCACTTAATCTGTATTCCTGGGGTTTGGCGGTCTCCGTCGGGAGTTGCTGTAGGGACAGTGGATTCAGAAAGAAAGAACCTTCTCAGTTAAGGACCGGCGTGCTCGGCTCCAGCACCCCAACAACCAGGAAAGTAAAGGCAGTAGTTAAAAGCCAGTTTTCCCCGTCCTCTCAGCCGAAGACATTCCCAGTTAAGCTGCGGGGAGGCGCCGGGCCGGCAATCGGAAGGCCAGAAGCCAGCAGGGCCCAAGCCTCACGCTTCTAAATTCAAGTCCGAGTAACCAGACCCGGTGAGGGAAATGGGAAGAGGTTCCCGGGCAGGGAAGGGAAAAACTGTATATCTGACACTCGGACATCACCTTCCAAGACTTCAAATTGTTTGGGAGTCTCCTCCCACTGCAAGGCCTGCTCTATGACCAGACTTACAGATCGAAAGCAAAACTCCCCTACAGGGTGTTAAACAAACCTAATCCTTCCTCCCACATGAGCTCCTCTCCCCCTCCGCTTAAGAGGGGGATGGGGATAGGTGCCTAAGAAAGCAATAGGGGTGTTTTTCTGCTGCAAAATCTAAGATGAGGGACCCACTCCCAGGGTAGGATGGACAGGAAGGAGAAGAAGGTTAGTATACAGAGCAGGCCCCGAAGACCCCTTCCACTGGCCCCCAAGTTGAAGCCTGCTGTGTGGGGTTCTGGTTTCTCTTGGGGGATAGAAAAGGGCCTGCCAGTTGCCCTTCCTCCCTGCTCCCTCCTTCCCCTCCCTTTGTGGTCAAGGACACAGTCCATCCTTCGGGCAGGAGAATGAGCTTAGGAGTAGGGGCTGTTCCTCCTAGGCACCTCACCAGGATCCATCAGAATCCACTCACTGCTATTACTCTGAAGGTACTTTTTTTTTTTTTCCGCCTAGTTTCCACTGAAAACACTAAAGAGGATAAAGACCTTAAGCCCAAATTGTGAATTCTGGCTCAGCGGCCAGAGGACGGTCACCAGTGACCGGTCCAAAAGGGGGGGTGGTGAGGGGGGTGTCCACCTTCATTTCTTAGGCTTCACAGGGCCAGAAATAAACCCTATTAATTATTGCCACCCCCTTCCCTACACACGGGGCGGGGGGGAGCAGAAAACAAGGCCTGGATCCCCTTCCTTCTTCCTCTGATTTATTTTATGGTGGCGAGAGTTGGGGAACAAGAAAAATCAAGCAAGTCTCTAGGACATGAAGAACTGAGGAAGGCGGACGGGGGTGGGGGATGCACACCATTCAGGAGGGAGCTACTCTTGCAATAGGGAGAGAAGAGGTCTCTGGGTACCCCAGGACAGCAGGAGCGTGAGGAGGGGAAATGGAGCACAGGGGGAAAGGAAAATGCTAGCCAGGCATGGGGCGGGGGCGCGACAGCAACGTGTAGCATCCAACAAAACGAAGAGCGGGAGTGGGGCAGGAGAAGCTGTCGGGACTACCAGGTATCAGGGGGCAACCGCCCGCAAGCCCCCCACTCACTCACTCGGGTCTCTGCGGCGGCGGCGGGGCGGGCTGCGGACCACGGGGCGGCTTCTCCCTCCAGGGTGGTCCGGGGCGCGGGACAGAGATCGCTCGCCCTTCTTTTCCTGGGCGCCGCCCGGCCGGGGCCAATGTGTCCTTTTCTTCTTTGAGGTCTGTGGGCGAGTTGGTGGAGGTTATGGGCTATGGCTCTCAAATAATTCAGCTTTTTGCAGGTCGGGATCAGCGGCGGGGGACAGAGGGCGGGCGGGCGGGCCGGCCGGCGGTGACCGCGTTGGGATGGCGGACTGGAGGGTGGCTTGTGTCACGGGGGGAGGACAGTCCGGGCTGTGGCTGGCGGGTGGTCCTGCCCTTCTGGCCCTGAGTCTTCCTAGCCACTCTCTCCTTTCCGAGAGGACCCGCACCTTCCAGCGCCCCGTCCCGAAGTGAGCAAAGTCAATGAAAAGTTTCACCCTTGGCAACCCTGCGCACGGATCTGGCTTCCCCACCCCTGCGTGATGCGTCCCTCCGCCCTGCAGGGGCGGGGCCGGCACCGTGCCGGGACTACTTTCGAGCCAGCGGGTAGCTTAACCCCTGGGGCGCAGAGGCTCTTGCACTACGAACTCGCTGGTACCTCGCGACCCTCTCTTCCTTCGTCCCCACCCCCCCCACCCCCGTGGTAGGCCCCTCTTCATCACTCAGTTCCTAGCTCAAGCCGCATCCCAGCTAATTCCTTCCCCATTGCAACGCCTTCTCATAGTTGTCTTTTTTCACGCCCCAAACCAATCAAATCATGCTCGCGTAGGGTGTTTTCCCAGGTGGACAGAGTTCCGCCAGGGCAGGGGCTTTGGACTACGACCGGGATGCTCACTTTGGGTGTCCTGAAGGGATATTGCGGGGAGGGAAACGTCCACGCTGTGTCTTCGGCCCTACACCTGCTTCCAGGCCACTTTGGCTAGTCCTTCCAGCTCTGGGCGACCGGCCCGCAGCACTAGCACCACCTGAATTATAGGGGAGGAGGAGATGGCGGGGCGCGCTGAGAGCACGACACGAGCTCTGGAAACGTTTTGGACCCTTATCAACTTAGGTTGGCCCGACTCCCCGGAGCGCCTCGCGCCTTGTCGGGGAACGAACGCCTGTAACGTCCACGGGAGGGCGAGGGGGAGATCGGGGCGGCCACAGTGAGCGAGAAAAGGGGGAGGCGAGGAAGAGGGCAGACGACCAGGAAAAGGAACCGCCTCTGGCGCCTTGTTACCTCGTGGCAGGGCCGACCCCTCTGCGGACTGCCCCGTTCTCTCCCCGGCTGGTGACCCCCATAAGGGACACTAGAAAGCCACATTTCTTTTAGTAACAGCCCCAGCCTTCGGGTGTTGCCGCCTGCCAGTGCCAGGGACTTGGGACTCGCACACCCGAGGGTCCCTCGGACGCTGGATCAAGGCTCGGCGAACCCGGGACGTGGTGTGCCGGGCCGCGCGCACCAGCCTCTTTCCCGGGCCCTAGCCACGCAGGCTCTCGGTCACTTTGTGACTGCGTGCGACGCGGAGTTAGGAGGCTTGTGCCCGGATTGTCGGGTGGCGAGGCACAGGGCTCCTGGGAGCTTGAGTGTCAAGTCTTTTACCCTGTTCCTCCTTTAATCGTCTATTTCCCAGGTCTCTCCCACCCCTGACCTTTATTCTCATTCTAGAGGGTTCCAGCCCGTCGGCAGCCGCTGAGCCCAGGTGGGGTGGGTGAGATCTGAGTTTCCAGCTACGAATTGTTTGCAAATTCATTGGTCACTCTTTTTTTATGGCAAGGGCAGAGGGCAGCGTGGGGGGTTTAAATTAGTTTTCCTTGACTGCAGCAGAGAAACCGGATTGCAGGGCAAACTCCACGGGGAAAGGGAGGTGCGAGGGATCTGGAGCACGAGAGCCCCATCCCCCACACTCTGAGCGCTTCAGCTCTTGGGGCACCTCCAGGGACTACTTGCCATGTGCGTCAGCGAGAAGCATAGCGTCACATACACGCCCCCTCCGCCATGCCCCACTCCTCCCCTCTCCCTTTCCCTCTCCCTCCTCCTCATTCTTCTACCCTCCCTTCCTTCCTTTCACCGCTTTTCCCCTCCCTATTCCTTCCCTCTTCGCCTAGTTTTTGTTTTCATTTCAACCAGCACGCCCTGCCCGGGCAGAGTCCCCATCGACCCACAGGGTTCCAGAGAACTGAATAGCTAAAAATATACCTGGTATGCTAGCAACAGCCTTCCCATTGGTCGAGTTCAGGGGAGAGGCGGCATCTGATTGGGTTTTCATCCAGCCGCTGGGACTAGGGTTGGGGGCCGAGAGCGGGGAGCCAGGTCCTCGGGCAGAGGAAGCGTTTGCGCAGTGGGGCCTTGCAAAGGCTGCTGGTATTGGTAGTTATTTATTAGAGGTAGCCATGGAAATATGTGGGTTTGAATCCTAGTTCTGCCGCCAATCACGTTATCTTGATTTAATGGCAATAAATCTCTTCCCATCATCAAACTTGTTTTCTCCTCCTTAAACTGGGGATCGTGTGGATTAAACATGATTCTGTATGCAAAGCCTAACAAATAGTTGCTATTCTTAAAGGTAACCATTCTGGCAAATTATATTTTACATAACCTGTGTTCAGTTCAATGTGTATTCCCCAGTAAGACACCTTACAAGACAGAATGATAAGAAAGGTGAGGGTGAGCTGAAAGGAATTCTCCTATAGTATAGTACCTCAGGAGGGGAGTAATGGAGCCGATACACGCAGATGGAGGGCTCCCACCATTCAATGCAGGCTGAGAGAGGGCGAACTGAGCCCTGGAAGGAAGGCGCTGAATTAGTGTGTTCATGCTTTGGTTCGTATTTCTCCTGCACTGTGGAAACAGCAGCCCTGAGCAACGTCACTAAAAACAAACTGAGAAATCCAGGCTCCTTCTCAGATGGGAGCCCTGTGCAAAGGGTGAGCATGCAAACAGGAAAAGATAAAACACAGGGGGGAAAAAGGTATTCACCCTCCTTAACTGCTGATGTCTCCATTTATGATGTGAAGAGGAAGACGTTTTTTCCCTTCCAAACATGATTTCATCTTGCCAGGGCTTGTGAGCTGAATCCCTACTCGAGCATTCCGTTCCCATTTGGAATAATCATCCCTTCAGAAGCACACACCATGTTTTAGGCATGGCGAGTTTCAAAGTAAGCATGTGCAGAGGGGAGAGGTGGGGGCAGGTCCCCTGAGAGGAAGCAAGTTATGCCAGATGTTTTGTTACTCTGACAAGTCAGGCTGGTCATAATTAGGACCAATTAACCGTCAGGGGTGAGTCACTCCCATACATACATGCCAGGGTGACGAATTTTGTGGTTTCTTTTATATTATCCAAGAAAACAGTCCCTCGGTTTGATTCTTCAAATCCATTGCCACAGCAGGGTAGGAACGAACAAAGAAAGCCACAGCAGAAACTGGCTTTGGAGAAGAGTGATTGAATGTACAGGGCAATGTGAGTGAATTCTAGTAAACAAATGAACAAACCTATCTTTTGCTGAGAGTAACATTTTAGTGTAGGTAGTGGAGAGAGTTGATAAGGAACTGGAAAAGTGGGAATTGGAATGCTTTTTTTAGGCACAAAAATTCCACCCAAGGCAAAGAATCTTTCAACTTTATGTCCTAGCTTCAAACTACTATTAAGCAGCTACAGGTCAGAACAGAGTGACAGTCTCTCTGAAATTTAGTCATTTCAGTTTGATTCCCTGGGAAGTTAGTTTTCTTAATTTAAAAGCTGCTAATTGGGCCCTGGCCAGGTAGCTCAGTTGGTTAGATTGTTGTCCCAATACTCCAAGGCTGCGGGTTTGATCTCAGGTCAGAGCATGTACAAGAAACAACCAATGAATGCATAAATAAATGGAACAACAAAGTGATGTTTCTCCCTCTCCATAAATATATAAATATATTTATATATTTATTATATATATAATCTATAATCTGCTAATTGGCAGGCCAAGGTCCACACCAGGTCCACATCTGTTGGATGTATTGTCTTGGCATAGACTGATACATTAAAAAATTGTTAATGAGCTGAAAAAATTTTTAAAGTTTTTATTTCTTTTTAGAGAGGGGAAAGGAGGGAGAAAGAGAGGAAGAGAAACATCCATGTGTGGCTGCCTCTCACGTGACCCCCACTGGGGACCTGGCCTGCAACCCAGGCATGTGCCCTGACTGGGACTTGAACCAGCGACCCTTTGGTTTGCAGCTCATGCTCAATCCACTGAACTATACCAGCCAAGGATGAATTTTTTTTTTTATTCTCACCCAAGGACATATTTTCATTTGTTTTTAGGGAGAGAAATATCAATTGGTTTTCTTTCTCTCTCTCTCTTTTTAAAAAAAGATTTTATGTATTTATTTTCAGAGAGAAGGGAAGGGAGGGAGAAAGAGAGGGAGAGAGACATCAGTGTGCGGTTGCCTCTTGTGCGCCCTGTACTGAGGACCTGGCTCGCAACCCAGGCATGTGTCCTGACTGGTAATTGAACTGGTGACCCTTTGGTTTGCAAGCCTGTGCTCAATCCACTGAGCCACACCTGCCAGGGCAATTGGTTTTCTCTTGTAAGTGCCCCAACCAGGAATGGAACCAGTCACCTAGGTATGTGCCCTGACTGGGAACCAAACACTCAGCCTTTCAATTAAGGAACAACGCTCCAACCAATTGAGCCACACCAGCCAGGGCATGAAGTAACAATATTTAAAAAATTGGAAGACGGCACAAAAATCTTATTTTACCACTTGTCCTTAATTCAAAAGCTCTGATAATACTGGGCATTCAGGGTGACAATTCTATGGAGTTGAATGGCAGCCCTCTCCTTTAAAACAGAGCCTGTGCACTCTGGTTCTCCCACAGTCCCCACCTCCATATTGTCTTCCAGATGGGAAAGCCAAGGGTCACATACCATTTATCAGCGTGTTTGGGCTATGCTTACACCCCTCCCTTTTCAATCGATTGTATTATTCACCCTGACTCCTGTGTTAGTGACCCCTTTTCCAGTTCAATGTAGTGATTTTTTGAGGGGCTGCCTGCTGTGTGCCCTGAAGTGGTGGGAGAGGCAGAAATGAGCTCAAGGACCTTATGATCTAATTCAGTTTTGAAACTCTGGGGTGTGATCCATTAGTAGTGTCATGAAACCACTTAGTTTCATGTATTTCAGCCAGAATCTTTAGAATAGAATGGGATAAAATGAAAATGCTGGAGTGCAATACACACAGTAAATATTGTTCTATGAAACTCGTATGTATATACTAGGCATGGAGCTAGTCCAAGTGGGACTGCTGTGGGGCATCTGGAGCACTCATGAGAGGTCAGGAGCTGAGAAGGAAGAGGTACCGAGTTGGCTGGCTGATGTGAGGGTGAAAGGGCATTTCAAACAAAGGAAAGCAGAGCCAAGACCACAGGAGCGTGCAAGGAATGTCCCTTCAACGGCCTAGTGATGAGAGAGAGAGAGAAGTGGAGAAAAACCTTGCGGGTAGGGGAGAGAGGGAACCATTTGGAGAACCTCAGTGCCAGGACTTAAATGTCTCTCTGTGAAAAAGTAGAGACTCACAGTAAAGGAACCACCATTTTTGCCTGGCTGGTGTAGCTCAATGAATTGAATGCGGGCCTGCAAACCAAAGGGTCGCCGGTTCAATTCCCAGCCAGGGCACATGCCTGACTTGCAGGCCAAGTCCCCAGTTGGGGGCATGTGAGGGTCAACCACACACTGATGTTTCTCTCCCTTTCTTTCTCCTTCTCTTCCCCTCTCTAAAAAATAAATAGTCTTGAAAAAAAAAACAACCCACCATTTTTGTAAAGCTTTCCCAGTAAAGGTCAGGCACTAACAAGGTCCAATTTTTATTTTACTTTATTTACTTTTAGAGAGAGGGGAAAGCAGGGAGAAACATCAATGCAAGAGAGAAAACACTGACCAGCTACCTCTTTCTTGTATGTGCCCCAATCAGTGACTGACCCCGCAACCAGGCATGTGCCCTGACCAGGAATCGAACCTGCAACCTTTCCCTTTCTGGGAAGATGCCCAACTGAGCCACATCAGTCAGGGCTAACAAGGTCAAATTTAATCTGTTGTCCCAAAAAGGTAGGCGCTATTACCATTATTTAGTAGATAAGAAAAAAGAAGCACAGAAAGGCTCAACGACTCACTAAAGGTCAGTAGCAGAGCAGGAATCAAGGTCTCATTATAAACCCGGCACACTTCTCATTACACCTTTTTTTTTTTTTAACAAGAGCAATATAATAAGTGCGATGTTTAAAGGAGATTAATTAATCATAGTCAGGAAAGGGAACTACTTTCTCTGTCAGTAGTGCTCATTTCAGCACTGGAGAAAAACAGTAATTTTGAAGACCATTCTGATTTTTGGTGGCCATACACAGATCATTATTCTAATTCTCTTCACAGAACTGTATACTGTTAGAGGTGAAAATTCAGCTTGTGATGTTTTCCCCACAGAAAATTTGTACTATCATTATGCCAATTTTTACAATTGAAAAGGAATTTCTGAAGTCCAAGGTGGACAAAAATTAAAATCAAAACCACTTAGTTTATCTCAGGTGGTTTGGAACTCATTTATTGCATTATATTGTTTCCTTGGTCTCTTATAAGAAAGGAACCAAGAACGGGATTATGAAAGTAGGTGACAAGGAGTGGCATTCAGATGAACTCACTGGGCTAAGGTCGACTTGCTCCATTAGTTATCAGTGTGGAGGGTATAATCTTATAATCTCTGACCTCCTACTAGGCAGTATTCTTTAAAAATTTCTTATTTATTTATTTGTAGAGAGTGGGGGGGGCGGGGGGAGAAAGGGAGGGAGAAAAACATCAGTGTGTGGTTGCCTCTTTGCGCTCCCGACTGGGGACCCGGCTGCAACCCAGGTATGTGCCCTGACTGGGAATTGAACTGTTGACCCTTTGGTTCACAGGTCAACACTCAATCCACTGAGCCACACCAGCCAGGGCTGGGCATTATTCTTAAGTTTCCTTGCAAGATGTTTTAGAGGCATTCACATGGAGGCTGATAGAACACTTAACGTGCTTTGCTGAAATTAAGGAGTTTTGGAATCATTTGTAGATACAAGATGTTATATTGACCAGAGTAGTTAATAAGCAAATTTTAAAAACCTAATTTTTTTTTTTGCGAAACATTTCGACTTACATTACACTTTAAAATCACTGTGGAATCAATGGCAATTCTAAACATAATCTGAAAATGATCTGTTCTCTGCAACATTTTGACATACCAGAACCCTTACCTGATGCTTTAGAACTGCTTAGCTCCCAAACACATCATCCGGTTCAGATGGTCTCCCATCATCCCCTTTACCCATGGGTTCCAACATGTGCTTCAAAGCCCAATTATCTGGTTTCCTTGGTTTACATTATTTATTCAGTACGGAGCACCTGCTACCTGCCAGGCACAGCAGACTTGGTTCCTGCCACCACAGAACACAGCCTACTAGCTGTCAATAATTACCAAATGCTTACAGTGCTACACAGACATGTAAAAGGGAAAACTCAGATTGGGGGTCCAGAGGTGTATTTGAGGAAGCATTCGGCTGAGGTCTGAAGGATGAGCAGGAGTTAGGTGATCAAGACAGCCCGATCTTAGAGGGGGATTAACCGGTAAAGAGCACCGAGGCCAGAAGGAGAGGGACAGACCTAGGAGGAGGGAAAAACCAGGCTAGAAAATAGCACCGTGGGAAGCTGCCTGCAGACCCTGCCCAGGAAAAACAGATCAAGATTAGGGTCTGGGGTCGGCCAATCCGGCGTAACAGGTTGCAGTTTTGTCTTGAGCCTGCACCCAGCAACCAGCTGTAGCCAATCAAACTCTGATACCCTCCGCAGGTTTCTGTGTTTCAACACCCTGACCTAAGAACAATCGAGCGAGTAAGTCTTAACCGCCTTGGTTGGCTCCCCTTTCCCTTATCCCCGCTAGCCAATCAACCCCGTTCTCCTTAGCTCGCTGCGTCCGTCCGGTTTCTTGAGCGACTCCGACCTAACACTTTTGGTGCCGAAACCGGGATTGGGCACCTGGCTGGAGGCCCGCTCTCTGGTCACTGGGACTGGCCTCCCATCAACCCGACTCCCCGACCGCAGAGTTGTTCAGAAACCCTAGGGCACAGCGGCTCCAGCTTCTCCTCTGGCCCCTTCCACCCTATTCCGCTACTCATTCAGTGCGCCCTCCGTCCGCTCCACTTTCCCCCTTACTCCCCGCCAAGAAACCCCGTTCTCCCGAGTTCGCTGGGTCCGGCTGGTTTCTTGAGCGACTCCGACCTAACAGAGAGCGGCAGTTTCAGGAACTGAAGGAAACCCCAGTGGCTGGAGTACAGGAAATTGGTGGCAGGAGACAAAATGGGAAAGCCTTAAGGGTGACCTTTACCCGTGTGACCATGAACTGGCCCTAGGTTCCGTGAGGTGTCCCAAAGCTGGGTCAAGAACCCTTCCTTTGTGCACCTTCAGGGTTACAGTGGAGCTGCTTCTGGCAGGCTCCTCTACTGAATTCCTGAAGGCAGACAGCACATCACGAATAATCAGGTTTTGTTGATCCAAACTAGAGAAGTCAGAACACTCTCATTTCTTCCTGTGGTTTTGCCCACAAGTTGCAGAACCACCTTGGATCCTCAAGACTTGTAACCTTTTTCAAATCAATGGTGTCCGAAGGCCTACGTAACCAGATGTCTCGAATTATGTGTCTCAAGTTAACCTCCTTATCACCTCTAGTGGGCAAACGTGCAGACAGCTGAGTTAGGGTTAAATGTCTGAATTTGTCCTCAGTCCTCCATTAATTTCATTCAAAAAATCCTTAATGTGAATATACATGCACTTTATGAAGCAAATCAACTAAACTCTGTCTTCAGTTCAAAATTAAAGTTGGGCAGGAGGAAAAAATGTTGTTACTAAAATTGACCTATAATGAAGGTCATGAAGGACCTATAACGGCTAGTTTTGAATTCCTCCCAGTAGTAATAAGACGACGAGGTGTTCGATGAGTCCCAATACCTCTATTCTGAATCGCAAGTTCCTGGGTGACTGAAACAAACTGGAGTTTAAGTTCCTAGAGTTAAACTTAAATTGGACAGTGATCAACTGCCAGAAAATAAACACCTCCTTTATTAATAGCAACAGAAAGGGTTTTCTATTTTCTTAAAAAACAGTAACATGAACCAGCCCTACCCAGTAAGTGTCATCAAGATTAAATGCCCTCGTTTATTGCTCCGCGAGCTCCCTGCCCCTGCGGATGTTTCATCGAAGACAGCTGCCGTCAGCGCTGCTGTGTGAACACAGGCACCTCCCGTGGACTCCTCGAGAACGCTGAAATGATACTATTTCTGTTTGAGAAGCTCTTGGCGTAGAGAACTTATCAATACAGAAGACGGAGTTTTGCTTCCTGCATTCAAGAAAAACCATGAACTACTCTATCAGTTTTTCTGACCCAGTCCACCAGAACCCTCTGTGCCGACCCTTTTCCATTCCATCGCCTCGTGGGGGGAGAGGAGAGGAGAGAGGAGGGCGGGGGGCGCCAGTGTACTGAGAGGGGTTCCGGCAAGGTGCTGTGCTTCGTTCCCTTTCTGTTGGCAGTAGCAGGCGTCTCTTCTGGCAGCTTCGGCAGCCTAATGGAGGGAGGAAAGGCCACCCACCAATCACCTCTTCTTAAAGCCGTATTTTTTGCGTTCGTAGAAGAGATCTGTCTTAGAGCTCCCCAAATTGACAATCTTTGGGCAACCATCTCTCTGGAAAACAGAAGAACAGAGAAGTTGTCAAAAGTCTTGGAGCCTGTATCGAGAGGGAATTAACATGAAAATAACGTTTGGACTAACGGTCTAGTCATACATCTTGCCACTTTAGTTCTCCTATTCAACCAACCAAGAGCTTACCAAGCAACCAGCAAGTGCCCAGGCCCCGTCTGCCTTCAATCCAGTGGCCTGAGCTTACAACGTTGGATTCTCAGCCCACGTAAGTTGCTAATATGACATAGTCCAGGCAGGATCTAAAACTCTTAAAATACCCAAAGGGTGTTCTTCTAGTGAAAGGTAGAAGTATCAATCATCTGCAAATCAAGCTTTCTAGCTCTCTTCCACTATCCCAAGAACAGAGAGACTACCACCAAGGAAGGAAACTGAAAGACTTCACAGAACAGTACCTTACATTTTAAATCTCACAGGAGGACCTGGCTGGTGTGGCTCAGTGGATAAAGAGCGCTGGCCTGTGAGCCGAAGTTCACCAGTTCAATTCCCAGCCAGGACACATGCCTGGGTTGCAGGCCAGGTCCCCAGTAGGGGGTGTACTAGAGGCAACCACACAGTGATGTTTCCTTCTTTTTCTCTACCTTCCCCTGAAATACATACATAAAAAAAAATCTCACAGGATACTGGGTTTGATGTGTCCTTATTAATTCACCCGGTGTGACACATGCTCTTGGGGGAAGAGTGTTTCAGTGCCCTGTTGATGTCCCTACTCTGATCTGAAATGACATGCTCTCCTGGCCATTTTGCGAGCTTTGAGCTTGAGTGGTTTCAGGGAGGCCCCTGGGAAGCTGTGCTCTGCAGACGTGATGACTCCATCAGCTGATCTGGAATGATGGGAGGAAAACTGCGCGTTGCCATTGCATAAAACCTTCACAGGGCTGATGATTTTATTTAACATCCATGTCAGAGGAGGTTGCTTCCTGTGACACCGGGCTATAGAATGAACCAATGAAGTCCTTAGACACCTCATTTCTAATGCAGCTGATTTCCCTTTTCAGGGACTGATATCAACACTTCAAAAATATCTGACCCCTGGCTAGGCAGCTCAGTTGGTTAGAGGGTGGTCTTGATAGGCTAAGGTTGCAGGTTCAATCCCTAGTCAGAGCACACAGGAGAATCAAACAATCAATGCATAAGTGGAACGAATCAATGTTTCTATTTCTCTAATTAAAAAAACAAACACAAAAAATCAAACAAACCCCGAAAAGAGAAAGCCAACACTAACATGTCATTAGTTTCTAGAAAACATGTAGCATGTATTACATTGAGAACTACCATCTGTGGAGTTCGCTGTGCTGAGTGAGCCGGGCTATGGGCCCAGCCCCCGCGGCAGCTTGCCGGGTGACCTCTAGTAAGCCATGTGATTTGTATGGGAAGTCCTGGTACAAATGAGGGAACAGCGGCCTCGTCCTCGCTCAGGGGAGCCTGACCTCAAACACAAGAGTGCGCTAAGGCCTTCTGAGACGTTGTGAGGTGCTGTGGTGTGACAATGACCTGTTGAGACTTACTGTGCTCTGCTGACTTGTGTGACTGCAGGTAAATCAGTCCTCTTCGGACTCACACCCCTCAACTGTAAAATAAGTAGACTGGCCGATGTTCGCAAATCTGTATTTTTCTAGCCCTGGAGAGTCTCGAGAGGCGCCGCCCCAACACGTGCAGCTGCGCTCCCACTCGGAGCCTCAGTTCAGGTGGTGGGCTCCGAGGTGAGGCGACCTGGGTTTCCATACGTTTATGAACCTCCCTGTGTCTCTTTCCAGTCACACCGGCAGAACCTACCTCCTGGAGTCAAGAATCAATACATGTACTCAGAACAGTGTCTGATGTATAGTCAGCTCTTAGTAAGTTTAAGAAATTGCCAAAATCAAATACCAGCAATTTCATAATGGTACGTACGTACACGTACACACGTACACGTACACGTACACACACACACACACACACACAAGTTCAGTATAAGATACTTCTGTGAAGACAGGACTCCACATATTTTTTAAGAAGTTTGGGGGGAGGGACCCAGAAAAAAAAAGTTGGCAAACCAATGTATTGGATTATTAGATCTTTGGGGTTTGTGGCATCTTCGCTCACTGACTCACAGGTTTCCTGTTTTCTTGCCTACACTCCCCTGTGTTTTATTGTCTACGTACTTCCTGCGGGTCTCGTGGCCGTGCCCAGTTTCTACCAACGCTGTGGAAGGTGAGGGTGTGGACGCCGGAGCTGGGAGGCTTCCACAGGACGCCTGTGAATGGGGAGCACGGGGAAGGAAAGTGGCAGGGCCGGTAAGGAAGCCTGGAGGATGGCGCAGGGTGTGAGTTCAGCTAGAAGACATTTTGAAAACACCTGCCAAGTACCTGCCTCATGGCAGGACCTCTTCTAGCACCTGTGTGTGTGAACACTAAAACCTTCGTCACCTGTCAGTCCCCGTGCCTAGCACAGGGAAGTATTATTTTAGGCAGCTGTGTATTTTTTTTTAAAGATTTTATTTATTTTTAGAGAGAGGGGAAGAGAAGGAGAGATATATCAATGTGTGGTTGCCTCTCATGAGTTCCATACTGGGGACTGGCCCACAACCCAGGCGTGTGCCCTGACTGAGAATCAAACCGGTGACCCTTTGGTTTGCAGGACAGTGCCCAATCCACTGAGCCACACCAGCCAGGGAAACATTTCTAAGCCTTAACCTCCCCATCTATATCCATACCGTTTTTGGAAAAGAATGCTCAGCAGAGTGTCTGGCACATAGTAAGAACTCCACAGATGTTAGCTGCTATTTTGTTTTCTGGTTCAGACGGCTGAGGAAAATGGTAAGTAAAAGGAGTAAAGGAATTAAGGGTTACAAGGGATCAAGATGATGCTACATTAGAAGAAACTACGAATTACTCCTCTGGCAGCAACGCCCACAGGTATTATCCCTGACTCTCGAGTATTAAAAAAAAAATTTTTTTTTAGAAGTTTGACTTTAGAGGGAGGGAGAGCAGAGGAGGGAGGGAGAGAGGGGGAGGGATGGGGAGGGGGAGAGAGGGGGGAGGGAGACAGACAGACAGACAGACATGCATTTGTTGTTCCACTCGTTTATACATTGATTGGTTGCTTCTTGTATGTGCCCTGATCGGGGATCCAACCCACATCCGTGGCCTATTAGGACAACTCCCGAGTACTCTTGAAGCTTTGAAAAACTATAGAGCAGCCCTGGCTGGTGTGGCTCAGTGGATTGAGTGTGGGCTGCGAACCAAAGCATTTCCAGTTCAATTCCCAGTCAGGGCACATGCCTGGGTTGCGGGCCAGCTCCCCAGTGAGGGCCACATGAGAGGCAACCACACATTCATGTTCCTTTCCTTCTCTTTCTCCCTCCCTTCCCCTCTGAAAAAATATATAAAATCTTTAACCCCACCCCAAAACCTACAGAGCACACCCAGCTTAGTTTGTTGGTCTAATTCCCTTAAAAATGACTAAAGTTGCAGGAAGAGAACATTAATGAGGGTTGCTTTGGCTGCAGGAAGGTTTCTGTATAGGAAAAAGTCTTAGGCTCTTAATGTACATGTTGATCTATAAGACTGAGAGACTGGACCATGCCATTGAGCTGCTTTGTGTTCCCTGGAAACTGTGACTGAGTGGTGTGAGCTGGGTGCTATCTCAAATATCCCCAGAACATCCCTGTATAACGTGAAGCGGGGGCAGTGACGTCTGGAACAACGCTCAGGGACAGGGACAGAATGAGGCATGAGCATCCAGAGGGATCGGGTCACACACCACACGAAGATGAGTCAGACAGCAATGAACAATAAGCACTCTCTGGCTGCAAGCTCAAGCCAATAGTAACTCTAGCTGCAACCACAAAAAAGTTCAAGAAAATTTCCTTAATGGACTCTTTAGCTAGTTTAAGATCATTTGTACTTTCCTCTCCACTGCTGTTGTCTTACCGTGGTTTCACTACTATGGACTATAAATAATCGCCAACCACCAGCTAGGCACCAGACAGTTCATAACGGGAACTCCTGTGGACGACTTGTAGGGGCAGCACTGAAAGTGTGGCCCATGCTTACAACACGTGTCAGGCACTTTACCAAGAAGTGGGAAAAATGGGGTTCAGACGCACAAACCAACATTCTTTCTCTAAACAAGTGAAACTTAGCTGGTGGACCAGATCCAAGCAGAATACGATTTGACAGTCAAACGTAAATAAATGCAAATAAGGGTTTAGGTCAGGAGAAAGTTCAAATCGCCAAATGAAGTTATGTTTTTCCTACTTCATCTGTGACCCTTCTCATCTCCCTAAATAAGACTTAACTGTGTAAGAACAGTCTTATCTGGCCGGATGCGTCACACTTACTGGGGGTAGAAAAAATCCAAGTACACAGACTGCTGAGATGGCTGGGTTGTTTCTCCTCAAGATGGGCACATCCAACGAAAAGGATTTATGAAAGGACAACGCAGGGTAATGTGACACCACTAGGTTTAATCAGACACTCTGGGCGTGCCACTTGTTAGCTGGGTAAGGGACTGTAACATGGGGATAATAATAATCCCTACTTAACAAAGTCACTGTGAAGAATAAGGGAGGTAACATCTATAAACTACCTATTCTTTTTTTTTTTAAGATTTTATTTATTTATTTTTAGAGAGGGAAGGGAGGGAGAAAGAGAGAGAATCATCAATGTGTGGTTGCTGGGAGCCGTGGCCTGCAACCCAGGCATGTGCCCTGACTGGGAATCGAACCTGTGATGCTTTGGTTTGCAGCCTGCACTCAATCCACTGAGCTATGCCAGCCAGGGAAAACCACCTATTCTTTGCTTGTGGGTATATTAAGAAGTATACATCTTTTGCCTTATTCTAGATTAGGTACCAGATACCGTCTATTCACCTATTGGTACTGTATCACACTTCCTTTTATTGTGTCACGAGAAGAAACCACCACCAAGAAGTCTGCTAAAGAAAACAGTAAAACTCATCCTTACAGTAGACCTGTAAGCCTTCTCCACTGCATCTGGTTTAAGGGGTGGAATGGTTGGCCACTGACACCACATGATGTCAAGAGGCAACAATGTCATGAGACAGAATCACAATCAATTCTACGATATCAAACCAAAGGCATTCTTTCAACCACTCAAAGCTGACATCAACTTGAACTGTCCCAAATGCAAATGTCACTACCATCACCCAAGCAGTCCTTAATGCTAGGAAAAAGAATTACTGAGTGGCTACTACACACCATACACTGTGCTGGGACTTACAAAATGTAGGGTGTTGTTTCTGAATAAAAATAGAGAGCAAAGGAAAAGACAGAGGCCTCTCCAAATTGCTGGTGTTGACAAAGATTTGCTTCTCTTGCATTTTTACCTTTGATGGAAAATAACTGCCTTTTATTGGACCACACCCACTTTGGCTCACAGAATTTGAAATTATAACCTAGGTGACCAGCTGAACGTGGCAATCTCCACAGACCATAGGAGTTTGCCGTGGACAGCCAAGTGTTTCTAAATAAAAGAAAGGTCAGATGGGAAGCTCGGAGCACACTCACGTCCTTCTCCTGGATGGTGCACTCCTTACAATAATAGGCATCGGAGACTCCCGGGCCTCCGCAGATCACACAGCGCCCCTGGTAGGAGCCGTAGTTACACTCATCACATATGCGCACCAGGGTGCACGGGCGCACGTAGGAGTCACAGATCACACACTTGCCATCACCTGTGAGGGAGAGAGAATGGAGTTATGCCCACTTGCAAGTACCCCATGTCCTCTGCCCTCCTTTTGTACTGGGGTAAAAAAAAACACTAGTCTCCATCTGAGAGTGACTTTTGAGTCTTCTACTTTGCCATTGCAAAACTTGGTTTACTCAGTGTCCATCTCAATCCCCACCACACACAGGAACAAGTCAATCATCTAACAAGAGCTTAGCACAGCCCCTGATAGATGGTGTCTGTACAATTACAGGCAAAAACTGTGCGAGCTGGAGACAGGGGTCATGTTACTTTCTGTCCAAAGCTACAGATTTTTCTCAAAACCTAAACATAGTGTCTAAGATGGGTACGTTGGAGTAGGGAGGTGAAGGGGGCCTTTGGTGGCAGTCTGGCATTCAGTGTTCACGTGCGTCCAGGCACATTTACTTAAAGCTCCCTTTGTGATCCCACAGGAAAGGCCCATTTGCTGTTTGCACAGAAACGGAGCACAAGGGTGGGGTGTTCGGGAGGGCGCGTTCCACTCACATTTTTCACACAGTCTTCCGATGGCTGCAAGATCAAAGATGGTAGAGTACTGTTAGAATTAAGAGTTTGACGAAGAGGGGAGAAACATCCCCAAGCTTGGAGTGGGGACAGAAGCAGGGACTTCAGTGAGTCCTGAGCGATTTCACCCATTTTATCCTTATGAACTTTCCAAACCCACGGGTTCCCGAAGTCCATCACAGGTCCTGGGCAATCTGAGTTTCTCTGGACCCCACCCCTGCCACCCACCCACCTGCGGCCCCCAGCATGCGCTCTCCGCCCTCTCCATTATTGAAGGCCGCAAACCTGCGCGCTCCGACGCCACCCGCCGTAAGGCGGGAAACATGGCACCTTCGAGGCCAGACCCTAGGAAGAGACGGGGATCTCCGATTCCCCAACTCCTAATACCAACCCCACCTAGAGAGCTGCGGACATGAACGCTGTCTCACCAACACCAGCCTGTTTGCGGCAGAAGATCAAATCCGGGTGATGTTTGGCCATAGCTCGCACTCAAGCAGGTCACCCGAAGCTCCCGGAACTTCCGCTCGACCTTTAACCTCCATTGTTCCTGCCTCCTAGTCGCCGTCATTGGTCCTGAGGCTTCCCTCGGCGGTCACAGTGTTTGCACCAAACCTCGCTCGTTCTCGCGGTATCAAAACCTTCACTTTCCAAAGACCAGTTTCCGTCGTAGCTGGGGAGACAGGTCCCTGAGTTAATAAAAAAAATGCCTTTCTCCGATTAGGATGGAAGAGATAATCTGAAGTACAAATACAAAATTTGCACTTTGATAAGTCATCTTCGTGAAGGTATTTACTTCCACAAACGTTTTTATGCAGCGTCTTCCTCTTCCGTATTGGTTGCTCACACAGGAGCTCCGCCCACTGCGCCCTTTGGCACTGGAGCCTGGTGGAAGTGCCGCCTTCGCCGTGACGCCCTTCGGCAGGCCACGCCCCCTTCCCTAAGGTTTTAAGTACGCCGCGTGGGACGTCATCTTTCACGCGACCTCATCTTTGTCAGTGCACAAAATGGCGCCTTACAGCCTCCTGGTGACCCGGCTGCAGGTGAGCGAACTCAGGGCCCTCTGGGTTCATGGGGGCGGGGTCCCTCCCAGTCCGCCTGCGGCTGTGGGCGAGGCGAGGCAGGCCCGACCTGCGGTGACTTTTTGTGTACCTGTCGCGGCCGCGGGCCCAGCGTCCTGCCCGCTCCTCCGGCGCCCGAGGTCAAGGCGTCCCCGCTCTGTCAGCTCTCCCAGCACAGTCCCCGCCCCGAGGGAAGTGTGGGTCTAAGCAGTGACGGCCGAGTGAAGAATGCAGGCACTTTTTTCTCCTTTTTGAGGACCGATTCTCCTTCCCTGTAGGGTTTCTTTCTGTTCCTCAAGGTGAGGACAAGGTGACTGGGGGGTACGGTCGATGCTGAGCCCGCTAGGCTCAGAGCCTGAAGGTTCACCTCTAAGAAGCGGAGACTTGCTAGCCAGGTGCATCTACGGTTGCCAGGCCTGGAGTCTGGAGAAGAAACTAGTGCCCTGTCCCATGTTTTGAGGATCCTGCAGAACACGTATCCAAGAATGAAAGGGGGTCTTCCGGCCCCAGATGTAGTAAATCGTGATAACAGTAACCTCTCTCCTTTCTGCAAGGTTGAGGGACTGTTTTAGGTCCTTGTCATATTGTGAGTCATGTAAACATCTGGTGAGATGATTATTCTCGCTTGATAAGGAATGACACTCCCAGAAAGGGGGTGAAAGTTACTGCTGTCATCGAAGTGGCCTGAGCATCCTGTTCTGTAGCCCCTCTGCTCTACTTGGTCATGTCAACCTGTCCTCACAAACCTTTCGGAACCAGAGTGTGCTTTCTGAGCCAACATTTGTATCTGGGAGCATACCAGAGTATTTGGAGCTCACGATTAGTTGCTTTTCAAATACAAGATGGAAGGGTAGAGACTCAACAGTGTGACCTTGACCCTAAGAAAGTATCTAAGAAAACTGACTGATTGCCAGATGGGTTTTCACTCCTAACATGACAGCCCCAGAAAGGGGCTATACTCAAAGGTTCAGCGTCAAGTATGTGTTTTGTTAATAAAAATAAAGCAATTATTTCTGTGTTCTCTGACAGTCTTTTAACTTTGTGACTACTTTGAATCAAGTGGCACAACTTTGATTTAAAAAGAAATTGTTACATGCTGTACTCTCAGGAAGCATTGTTACTAGAAGTTTGTGGGGGTTTTTTAAATCTTTTTGCTTAAATTAAACCATGTGGTTAAAGTGAAATCACTTACCGTAAAATACTTCTGATCTCTCAATTCTGGGCAAAGACAAAGGATTTTTGCTAATTCCCTTTTCGGATCTTTTGAATCTCCAGGTTTACAATGTGGAAATACCGTAGTTGTTTCTTTTTGATCTGCTGTCCTATGCTGTAGTGATGCCAGGGAGGATTATTTAAGATAAATGATGACAGATTTACTGAGCTTGGAAGAGAGGACTTATATCACAGTATTTTTGAACTGCAAAAGGATCTTAGAAAGCACGGGTGTTATACCAGTCTAGAAGGAGACCTGGGCTATATAGTTCATATTCTACCCTGACTCTCTGACCTTGAATTAGTTACTTCTTAGTTTCTTCATCTGTCAGTTGGGGATCACCTTCATTGACAAATGTTTATTGAACACTTGGTGAATGGCTTCCATTCAGAATTTTATGATGATTGTTATAATATGAGGAAGTAAAATATACTTCTTTATGACAATCATGGAGTACACCTTCCTCTTTATTTATTTTTAGAGAGAGGAAGGGAGGGAGAGAAACATCAATGTTGTGGTTACCTCTCTAGGGCCCCCCACCAGGGACCTGGCCTGCAACCCAGGCATGTGCCTTCACTGGGAATCGAACCAGTGATTCTTTGGTTTGCAGGCCATCACTCAGTCCACTGAGCCACACCAGTCAGGACCCAGCTTCCTCTTTTACAGAGAGACAATCCTAGACTTTGAAAGCCTGGGTGAGTTTCAGGAAGAGTCAGGATTAAAATTCAGATCTTTTTGTTGTTGTTGTTGAGATGAATGAACAGAGTAACACCTCACTGCCTCCCAATAGCCAGGCTGTGTTAAGCAATCACCAAGTGGCCAGCTAACACTGTCCTCTGAAAACCTTGTAAATTTACCTTTTTTATATTCAGCCTCATTTGAGATGTGATGGTACTCCCTTGGTTGTCATGTCTGCAGAACCCTGTCTACGCGTTAAATTTGTTCCTACCTCATTCACTGTGTATTTGCCGAGCACCCATGACTTACTTCCGTAAGCAATGATAAGCAAAGCAGACAATTCCTGTTCTCATGGAGTTTCCACTCTGTTCCAATGTATTCTACTCCGGGGAGCCTTGGAGATCTCTCTCAGCCAAAATATTTTTCTTCCGCCCTTGGCTGGAGCAAAGGTGAAGGTAGATGATAGAATGATGACAATTACTGCTACCGCTAAGAGTTACTAACATTTACTTGTGTACCAGTAATCTCACATGACCCTGTGAGATAGGGCAAACCTATTAGCCCCGTTTTATAGATGAAGAAATAGGAATAGAGCAAAAACACAGTGTAATGGTTGAGAGCATGGACTCTTGCTTCGCACTACCTTATTTGCTGACTAGTGCTCACGAGCTGTGACTCTGGGCAAGTTGCTGCACCTCTCTCCCTGATCCTTCACCTGTAAGATACAGATAACAATAAATAGTACTTCAGACTTCTCTAGTAATCATATTATAGTTGCAGTGTATTTAGAACCTCCCTGCGTGTAGTAAGTGCTATGTACTTATTAGTGAAATAAAATAAACTTGCCTAGGGCCTTATTGCTAGATTTCATTTGAATCGGCACCTTTCTTTTTTTTTTCTTTTCTTTTTAAAGATTTTATTTATTTCTTTTTAGAGAGGGAAGGAAGGGAGAAAGAGAGAGAGAGAGAGAAACATCAATGTGCGGTTGCTGGGGGTCATGGCCTGCAACCCAGGCATGTGCCCTGACTGGGAATCGAACCTGCGATGCTTTGGTTCGAAGCCCGTGCCCAATCCACTGAGCTATGCCAGCCAGGGCTCGTTTCTTATTTTTTTAAGGCCTTTTGTTTATTTTTAAAAAGAGGTGAAGGGAAAGATAAAGAGACAGAGAGAAACATCAATGTATGGTTGTTTCTTGCATGCCCTGTACTGGGGAGCCCAGGCATGTGCCCCAACTGGGAATCGAACCAGCAACCCTTTGGTTCACAGGCCAGTGCTCAGTCCATTGAGCCACACCAGCCAGGGCTGAATTGGCAGCTTTCTGTTCCAAACCCTGAGGTCCCAGCCCCTGCGCTTCGCTGCTTTCCTTTGGCATCATGATTCAGCCTGTCGCCCAAGGTACCATTAGTACCCCATAACCTGAGAACAGTGCTCTTTTTTAAAAAAAGTTTTTTAATTACAATTTATTGTTTATGCTATTACAGTTGTCCCATTTCCCCCCTTTTTCTCCCCCTACCTCACCCTGCCCCAGCTCCCTCAGGCAGTCCCCCACAGGAGCCCGGGTTCACGGGTCATGCATACCTGACCTTTGGCTAATCCCTTCACCTTCTTCCATCCAGTCCCCGCCTCCCCCTGCCCTCGCACAGCTGTCAGTCTAGAACAGTGCTCCTGAGGTTGAAAGTGTTCTATCATTTGACAGTGCCTGCTACCAGGTAGATTAGAAATAGTGAAGAAAATGGAGGGGAAATTTTTGAAAAGTCACGCTTACTTTCTGGTCTCTATTATTTATTTTTTTTGAAAAGGGCTACGGGTGGTATATAAAAGGAGTCAGGTATTTGCAAATGCATTTCTTAGGTCTTTGGTTTTGCCGTGAGGTACTGGGGTGCTGAGTTTCCATCGTGTGACTTTCAGGTGCATGTATTTAACGTAACCTCAGCTGTAAATCTGGGATGGCAGTTAACTGCAGGGAAGCCTGACTCTGGGCGGAAGTTAAGTTAAAAGTGCCTCAAAAAATCTTGTTTTAAATTGTGAAACAGTTCATTCTAGTTGCATGTTCACTGTGATACTTTCTCAGGTGTCCTGTAGTCAACTTGATTTGAATTGCGTGAACACATGAATGAGTGACTCAGTGGATGAGCAAACAAGCTTCCAGTCTCAGATCTGGGAGAGGCAGTCAAAGCAGCCTCTTGAAGACCAGGGGAGCACACTGCTGCCTTTTGGACCAGCTGTTCGCAGGTGTTTTGTGAACGCTTACTCCGCACCTAATGCTGTTCTAGACACTGCGAGCTCAATAGGGAACAGGCATCACGGAGCTTATATTGCAGTTCTGGGGAGACAGAAGATAAACAAGTTAGACAAATGGGAAAATTGTAGCTACTGAGTGCTAAAAGCAAGATAAAATAGGATAGTGTGGTAGAGTAGGGGTGGGGATATGGCCTGGCTTTAACTGGGGTGCTTGGGGTAGGCGCCTCTGAAGAGGTGAGATATGAACTGATACTTCAGTGGTAAGAAGGCAGCCCTTCGGTGCTGGCTGGCGTGGCTCTGCGGATTGTGCTCTGGCCTGCGAACTGAAAGGCTGCCCTTTCGATTCATAGTCAGGGCACGTGTCTGGCTCGCAG